CCTCTCATTTGTGGCTTCTACCTGTCTCTTGGCTGTCACTAAACTTCTGCATCCCATGTATAGATTCGTAAACTTCAGTATTGGTCAACACGTCTGTACATTTAGTGTAGGAGCAACTGTGTGTGTGTGTAAAGCCACTAGAGCACAGGCACTAGTACCACACTGTCTGGGCTTAAACGGCCACTATGCCACTTCCCTACTATGGGGTTTGGGCAAACAACTCTCCCTTCCTGTGCCTCTGTTTCCTCATCTGTTAAGCAGGGAGCATAATAGAACCTGCCCTGTCCATGGTGATGAGAGTTGGATGTTTGATATCTGGAAAGCACTGGGGATGGTGTCTGGTGCAAAGTAAGCACGACACAAGTGGGATCTGTTCCTCTTCAGATGTTTTATGGTGGTGGAGTGTCTGAATACATTACAATGTATGTCTCCAGCCTCCTTTTGATGAACATTTAGTTCTAATTTCTTACCAGTATATAAATTGGGGCGGGGGACCTTAGAATTCATTTACAAAAATTGTATATTGATTCTTCCCTGTTTACATTTCAGTCACCTTCAAAGTCCTCTCCATTTGATGAATACACCTATCGAGATGCTATTTCCACTGCTCAGAATGGTTTTTGAACTCATCAATTTTGATGCCTTTCAGTGCTTCTGCCGTTTTTTGTTTTACCTCTTCTACATCAGCAAAAGGTTTCCCTTTGAGGACTTTTTTCATCTGGGGAAACAAACAAAAAAAGTTGCTTGGGGTGAGATCAGGGAATAGGGAGGGTGGGCATGGGGGTCATGCTACTTTTGGTCAAAAATTACTGAACACTCAGCGCAGTGTGGGTAGGTGTGCTTGTAAATCCATTATGAAATGGGCAAACGTGTTGAAAGATTCTCAAAAAAAACTCACTTGGGCCAAGCAGCCTCTCTCAACAACACTAGTCAGTACCCTGATGCTGATGGTTCCTAGAACACTTACCTAGCAGGGAAAGCCTGGACTACAAGGGATCCACCCTCCAAAAACAATTCCAGTTTTTTTTTGAGTCCCCTCATACATTCTGGAACATGCCTCCATGTGCATATGAGGCTGATCTTGTCTCGTGACCTAAGAATGAAATTGCCGGGGCTGGGGTCATTCCCAGCTATGACTGTGCCGGATATGAGCATGTTACTCTGAATAGCACGGTGAGAACTCCCTCTCACACAGAGCTCCCCACACTCCACATCTTCCCGATTTCAGTGTTGCACAGCCATCGTCACCTCTGCATCTATAAAATGACAGGACGGATGATCTCAGGTCTTTCTGCATTTCCTGCATTCTCTGTTCTCTTTCCTTGATTCTCCCACATTCTTTTCTTCACCTAGAGAGAAACTCGTTTAGGGAGCATCAAACTATTTCTTCTAAGTGTGTAAGCCTGTCGTTTGGTATTTTATATTTTGAACAATCCATAAACTTGGAGATCCAATCATACAGTTTCAGGAATCATAAGGAAGAATATTGCCTAACTTGACAGTATCTAGCCAGGCTTACTGTTACAACAAATCAGTAGTTCCCAAACTTTTTTAAACAATGGATTTTTTTAAGAGGTAAAAACGTACACTGAACTTCAATATAAATGCTGTGTGTTTCATCCCCCTTCTGTTTATGTGTTACACATTGGCAGAAAGCTTTTTGTAATTTTTTGTTTGTTTGTTTGTTTGTTTTGAGTTGGAGTCTCTGTCACCCTGGCTGGAATGCAGTGGAACACTCATAGCCACCCCAGCGTCGACCTGCTGGGTTCCAGTGATCTTTCTGCTTCAGCCTTCCAAGAGCCAGAACTATAGGCGCGTGCTACCACACCCGGCCAATTTTTGATTTATTGTAGAGACGAGGTCTTGCCAAGTTGCCCAGGTGGGTCTCGAACCCGCGGGCTCAGGACATCCACTTGCCTCAGCATCCCCCAAAGTCCCAGGATTACAGACTGAGCCACTGAGCCAGGCTACTTTTTGTAATTTAATTATCATTATTCCCTTGGTGAACCTCTTGAAATTAAGAAATATTTAAACATTTCCATTTATCTTCTAACTTTATCCATTATATTTACATTTCAAATATATATTTTTTGCTATACTAAAAGCTTCTGGAAATATCCATGTCTGAAAAAAAGTTACTCTTTATTGTCAAAGAGCACTGCTTTTATCCCCTGTAATTTCTACAGGGGTGGGGTGGGGGAATAGCCTCAGGCTTTGAAGATTATAATTGTAGACCAACATCACCACCTAGTGGTAATAAGCTTAATTACCCCATACTTGAAGTAGAAAAGTTGGTATTTTCAAAAATGGATTCAAAATTTGAAAGCGACCTCTTCTTACGAGAAGCTCCCATTGTAACAAGGCTAGTGGAGGGGCAGGGTAAGCACATGTCAGACACAGTGGGCGACCAGGAGATGGGTCTCTTGCTCCCTCTCTGATCTGCCAGCCCAACTTCTCTCAGGTGCAGGTCATACAGACACTTAGGCTCAACCCTATCCACCCCACCCCATCCTTATCCAAGCCTGTCCAGTCCCAATGTGTTCATATGCTAGTTCTGGACAACCCATTGGAGTCCAGAATCAACTTGGAACACAGCTGGTCTCTGGGTGACTGAAAAACCCCTGCTATGGCATCCACCTGGTCCCTGGCCAGCACTCCTGAGTTTTCCTAAAGCCACCTGCTTCCTGTTTTTTAGAAGGAAATCTCTGATAAAGCCGGGACCAATCATGAACCTCTGTATTGCATTACAGATGTCTAGACTGAAACCTTCACTGCTGAGTCAACCCATCCGATCTCTCTACATGAAGGAGTCATGGGAACAAAGTTGGCTAAGCCTGGGCAACATAGCAAGACCCCATCCATTAAAAAAAAAAGTTTTCAATTAGCTAAGTGCGATAGCACACACCTGTAGTCCCAGCTTCTCAGGAGGCCGAGGTGGGAGAATCATTTGAGGCTACAGTGAGCTAGGATCATGCCACTGCTCTTCAGCCTGGATAACAGACAAGAGACCCTGTCTTTAAAATATGTGTGTGTGTGTGTGTGTGTGTGTGTGTGTGTGTGTATTTAGGCTAAATCTTCCTTACCCCAAGCCTTTGAGCCAAGAATCTGTCACCTATCCAATCTGAGCCTACAGAGCTCTGGGTCAGAGGTCACCAACCCAGAACCTTTGGCATGAAGTAGTCACCCCCCTCCAGATGCTGTGTTTGGGGTGCATCTTCATAGGAGCCAGCCCAGCCTGAGTGTGTAACCCTCACTCTTCCTGTCTGACCATGTCTGTCTGATGTGAGCAGCCTGAAAGCCTCTTTCTGTGTCTCAGAGGTTTCCACACAGGCTAGAAAGAGCACACATGACAGTACAAACACAGGGAAGGAGAAAGAGTAATAAGAAGAAAGAGAGCAGGCAGTAACATTCCAGGCAGAAGTGTGTCCCATGTCGCGTGCGCCACCCTGCCCGGACGAGCCACTTCTGCAGTGAAGAGACACTTGCCGTCTGAGGCTGGAGGGCTAGCAGGCTGGAGAAAGGCAGCCTAGGCCTGCGAGGGGTGCATGTCATCCAGCAGAATAAACACGCCCATGACCTGTCCTGGCTAGGGTCTGTGGGATGCCTGAAATGTCAGGTGCACAAGAAGCACGTTGGGTCATGTCATGATGGGCAGGGCACGAGATCTTGTGAGGAGGATCTTGAGAACCACGTGAGTAATGTTTTTCGCAGCCACACAATTGTCAGATAGTTCTAGGACCTTCCACTGGCTCTCCCTGGCTTTCTAGAGCCAGGCTTGCCAAGCTTCAGTGTGGCTATGGAACCTTCAGGGGACTTGCTAAAGTGCAGATTCTGGCACAGTTGTCCTGGGGCAGGACCTGGGTTCTGCATTTCTGAGAAGCCCCTGGGTGATACCCACGCTGGCCCAGAACTCCCGGGTCTCCTTCCCAACATGATGATGGTTTTCTTTGTTAACCACGCAGCGATGTTACTGCGTATCCCTTGCTCTTACTGCTGGCCAGGGAGGAGAGAAAGATAGTAGCCACTTAGGCCTCCATAATCAGAGAATTTTAAAATTTTGGTATAAAAGATTCCTACAACATTTTAAGATTTTCAGTGTTGTATATTTCAATATTTGTATGTATGTATATATGTAACACACGGTACAGTCTGATTTATCATGCTTTTATCAGTAAGAAATTTATCTCAACTACCATTCCTGAGGCCTAGACTGCCAAAATGATCATTGTCTTTTTTTTTTTTTGAGTCTGGGTTTCACTTTGTCGCCCAGGCTGGAGTACAGTGACACAATCACAGCTCACTGCAGCCTTGATCTCTTGGGCTCAGCCTCCTAAGTAGCTAGGACTACAAGTGTGCACCACCACACCCGGCTAATATTTTAAAAATTTTTTTGTAGAGACAAGGTCTCACTATATTGCCCAAGCTGGTCTCAAACTCCTGGACTCAAGCAATCCTCCTTGCCCAGCCTTCCAAAGTGCTGGGATTACAGGCATGACCCACAACACCTGGAGACTAATATCCTTAAAATGACCCTAGCTCTACAAAACCCTAAACTCCCCACTAAATTATCAAATAAGTCATATTCACTACCATGTCATCATTAAGTTACTTTATTGCATTCTATTTTTTTAAATGGTATTCCACGCACGATGTACATGATAATTCTCACTTACTCTGATACATTTCACTCCTCAACAATGCCAGTGGCTGAAAGTGAAGAATACTTGTTCACTTTTACCGAGATTATTACATAAAAGGGGCATGTGTGAAGAAATCACAAGGTTCAGATACTGACGAGTGAATCATTTATACCTTTGCGAAAAATCCCAAAGCATGAGTCTTTAATCACAATATTTCCCAGAGAGCTCACGGGCCTCCTGCCCTGCACAAAGTGCATGTTTTCCTGGTGGAAAAATGTCCCAGCCGAACCTTCCTCTCCTTCCAAATTACAGCTGCCTCGAGCCCTGTCATCCACAGAGTCGTGAGGTGTGTGCTTCCCGTCAGCCCTGTGTGGAGTCCATGGCCTCACTTTCTGCTTCAAGTCCTTCAAGAGCCGAAAATTCCGTTTCAATAAGGGGCTTCAGAAACCTCTCCACCTTGGTTAACCTTTTTTTCAGCTTCTGCTGCATGGACTCGTACTCGGCCAGGATTCGGGCAAACCTCGTCTGCAGCAGGTCCACCGAGCCCTCCATCCGTGTGACCTTCTCTTCCAGGTCCTTGGGGTCACTCGCGGCGCTTGCGATGTTCAGGTCTAGCAGGCCGTCTTTCATCAAGATCTGCCTCCCTTTCTCTTCCAGCATGGTCTTGGCGTCCGGGTACTCGGTGAGCGCCTCCATGAGGTCGTCTTTCGAGAGGCAGAACAGGTCCGAGTAGCCAATACTTTTAATATTGGCTGTTCTTCGGTTGCCGGCTTTGCTGCCTTTGATGTTCAGGATGCTGATCTCACCGAAGTAGCTGCCGTCACTCAGCACCACAAACTGAGTGACCCCGTCGTCGGCTACCACAGCCAGTTTGCCTTCCTTGATGATGTACATCTCCCGTCCTATGTCCCCTTTCTTGCAAATGTAGTCTCCAGGACTGTAGACTTGAGGCTGCAGTTTCAAGACCAACTCCACCAGGAGACCTGCTTCACAATCAGCAAAGATACGCACCTTCTTTAACGTGTCCAGGTGAACGCTGATGGCGATCTCTGCTCTTAGTTTATCGGGCAGATACTTCAAGACCTCTCTCTCATCGACAGTTTTTTTGTTGGTCCACAGGTAGTCAAACCATTTAATGACCCTCTTTTCCATATCTTTGCTCACATTCCGAAAATGCATGTATTGCTTGATAGCATCAATTCTTGCTTGAAATTCTGCCCGGGCTGCATTCATGTTGGAGATCATAGAACCTATGTTACCGACGATGGTAGCAAAAATCAACACTCCGATCAGGAAGTCGACCACCACAAAGACATACTCAGAGTCGATCACAGGGGGCGGTGTTTCACCAATGGTAGTCAAAGTCAGTGTGGACCAGTAAAGGCTGTACACATATTTTCTAGCCAAACGGCCAAAGTCAGGATCATTCACGTCGGGGTAGACCCAAGTATCGTTCCCAAAGCCAATGGCTTTCGAGATGGAGTAATACACACACGCGTTCCAGTGGATGATGATGACAATATACATCACGAGGTTAGAAATCCTGAAAATGTTTGGATAATTTGTCCTGGTTTCTGTTCTCTGGAAGAACTCAAACATACGAGAGAACCTCAACAGCCTGTTTAGTCTGATTTCTGGATAGTTCCACCCCAACTGAATATACAACAAATCCGTTGGTATCACCGACAGGACATCCAGTTTGAACTGCACGTCATCTTTATATTTCTTTATGAGTTTAGTTTCTTCCCTAACCAGGAGTCCTTGTTCTAGGTAACCTACAAGAAAAAAAAAATCCATTTAATATTTCTTTTATGCCATTGTGAATTATTATTATTATTATTATTATTAGCATGTCAGGAGTAAAGTCTAAGCAAAAATGGCTATGCTGAGTGAATTTTTATAAGTAGCTCAAGTAATCTTGTTGAGTTCAAAACCATAATTCATTTCAATAAATATGCCTTTAGCGATGTAGTAAGATATGAATAACAACCAACATATGACTATAGAGAATATACTACAGAAATAAAAGGTAAAATTTGTAAGTACAGAAGAGTTTTTAAAATATACATAGTATACAACAATGGAATATTATGCAGCCATAAAGAAGGACAAACATATGGACTTTGCAGCAACTTGGATGAATTTAGAGTCGATCATACTCAGTGATCTATCACAGAAACAAAGAACAGAGTACCATATGTTCTCACTCATAATCAGATCTTGAACAATTATAATACTATAAGAAAGGGACTGGCAGTAGTGGGAAACCATCAGAGGGGGTGGGAATGGCAGTTGAGGGAAATTGCTGGGGAGGGAGGGGCACACCTCATCAACAAGAGTACCTGCATAATCAACGTTTGTATACCTAACCCTGAATTGTACCCCACATCTTTATAATTTAAAAAAAAGAATAAATAAGTAAATATACATAGTATACAGATCTCACTAGATCCAGCTCTCTGTCTAGGTAAAGCCATTCCTTTTACAAATAGTGTTCTTGTGATACTGCGATATAATAAAAATACATCTTCGGTCTCTGGCCCTGCCTTCCGGCACAAAGCTCCTAAAACTCTTGTAATTTCCTGAGCAAATAGGGATGCTGCCTGTTTTGTGGTGACATTTGGTCTTTGACCCTGGTTGGTTCCTGACCCAGAGCCTCCAATCCCTTGGGATTTCATGGGTGACAGAAGTGTCTTTTGTTCTAATGAGACAATGCTTGGTGAGCTCCAGGTGCAGGCTGGTCAGCAGAAGACAGAGCGTGACCAGAGTAACTTGGAGCTCCCTGCCCCAACCGCCATCCTCCAGGCAGGGGAGGGGCTGGACACTGAGTTTCCATCATGACTCCATGATCAGGCCTGCCTAGACATGCCTGAAATGTGGGGTTCAGAGTGCTTCCAAGCTGGTGAGCACATCCATGTGCCTGGAGGGTGCCGCACCCCAATTTCTGGATCGTTCCACTCCAACTGAATATACAGCAAATCTGTTGCTGTCACTGACAGGACAACCAGCTTGAACTGTAAGTCGGCTTTATATTTCTTTCTTTCAATTCCACGGGGTCAGAAGGTCCCACTCTCAAGACTCTCCCAGGCCCGGCCCTGTGCATCTCGGCACCTGGCTCCTCATCTGTATCTGTTATTAATTATTCATTTAATTTATAATTAATATAATCAACCAGCAAACAGAGCTGTTACCCTGATTCTGTGAGCTGTGCTGACAAATAATCAAGTCCAGGGTGGGTTTGGGAGCCCCAGTGTGCAGTGGGGGAATCAGAAACACAAATCACAACCTGGGCCTATGACTGGCACCCAGAGTGGGGGCTGGTCATGTGAGACCGAGCTTCCCTTGCGGGCCAGTCCTCATCCTGGTCTGTGTCAGATGACAGTTCAGCTAAGCCCCAGTCAGTGTGGAAAGGAAACCTCACATACACTTTGGTGACCAGAACGGTGTTGCGTTGAGAAAACAGCAAGGGAAAATCGTTGTTTTTCCACCCCACACAATTCTTGGGAAGTTTCCCAAAAAACTGTACCCTCCAAACACCTCATGCCACTGTGGTGATGGAATCTCAGCCCTGGCCTCATGCCTGGGGACCAGCACTGTTCTCTGTGTTGCATCTTCCTGCCCTTGCCCACCAACGAGAAGCGTGAGTGCCCTGTGAGGCCACATTGTCATCTTTCCTCCTGGCCCCCAAGACCCTGGGGTCCTCCCTTCTGTGCTGCTACCTGTTCTTGTATGTTTTTTGGTTTTGTTTTGTTTTTTTGAGTTGGGGTTTCACTCTGTCACCCAGGCTGGAGAGCAGTGGCACACTCCTGGCCACCACAGCCTTGACCTGTTGGGTTCAGGTAATCCTTCTACCTCAGTCTTCCACGTAGCTGGAACTACAGGCACACACCACCATGCCCAGCTAATTTTTTTGATTTATTGTAGAGATGAGGTCTCGCCAAGTTGCCCAGGCTGGTCTCGAACCCACGGGCTCAGGCAGTCCTCTCACCTCAGCCTTCCAAAGTGCTGGAATTATAAGCATGAGCCACCATGTCTGGCCTTGTTCTTGTATGTTAAATACCGAATTTCAGCACTCTGATAGGCTCCATGAGGGAAAGAATCTGTTCCTTCTGTTCTGGCAGCCAGAGCTGCAGACAGGACAGAGTAGTCCAGCACTGCTCCAGGGACTGATGTTTAGGGAATATTCTGGTTTTACGTGACTCCTAAAAGGCTATACTCCGTAAGCATGGGTTACCTTGGCATGTCAAGAGCAGCACAGAAGCAATGAACTTCCACACACTTAACAAGAATTCTTCAAACAGGAAGCTGTCGGACGCTGTCCTCTGGCCCACAGCGTCTCACCATGAACCACAAAGTTGAGTGTGTTTTTCCTGCTTCCTGTAAAATGTCTAGTGCGACTCTGCTGGGCATGGTGACATTTTCCCCATCCTCTTTATGACATCTCCCTGTGAGGTAGCAATTATCCTTTCCCCCACAGAACTGGCAGAAGGCTTCAACTGTCTCTGTTCTCTCTCCTGGCATCAAACCAAGGAACAGGATGACAGAGAAGAGTCATGATCCTTGCTCAAAGGCTGCCTGGGAGCCTTCCTGAGTTGGCTGGAGCGGCCCAGGCCTGTGAGTGGGCATGTCGTCATTCCTGCTTTTAACTGCACCTTTCCTCTAGAACAGATTTTTCGTGAGCTCACTTTGAAGAACCCTTGGATGAGGAAATTTCCAGTTATATGAAAGGGATAAAAGCACAAAACTTTAAAATATTCAAAACAGAACGTATTTACCTGTCCTTATTCGTACGAACATATCGGCAAGATAGACTAAGTCTGATAAGTAATCCAAAATGAGCCAGTATTCTAAGTAATCAGACTGAAGTTCATCAAAGCATGCTCTGTGAAAGAAAAACTCATGTAAATAGGAGGAAACAGAGGCCAACGTAAGTAGAAATTCTCTTTGTATAATTTCTGGTTATGATGAGAAGCACAACACACTAAGTCCAGGAGGAACCCCTGATCCATTAATCAACTGTGGTTTTCCCAAAACTTCCCGAGTGGTCAGATTTTGTTCCTTGCACTATGAAATCCCAACATTTGTTTCATTACACTAGTCAGCTTTGTAAAAATATCAAATAAGAATAAGTGGGCTAGAGAGTACAAAGATACAGTAAAACAGAAGAAATAAATTCAATTTTTAATGGCAGATTATACTCAATAAGAATGTACCTAGTGATGGACACCCTAAATGCCCTGACATGATTACTGTGCATGTGGCAAAACTTCACATATACCCTATAAATTTGTACAAATTTTTTAAAAATTAATACATTAAAAAAGAATAAGGTCCGGGCTTGGTGGCTCAGCCTGTAATTCCAGCACTCTGGGAGGCCAAGGCAAGTGGATTGCCTGAGAACATGGGTTCAAGACCAGCCCGGAAAACTTGGTGTGGACCTCACCTCTACAATAAACCAAAAAATTAGCCAGGCATGGTAGCACACACCTGTAGTTCCGGCTACGTGGAAGGCTGAGGCAGAAGGATTGCTAGAGCCCAGAAGGTCAATGCTGGAGTAGCCGTGAGCATGCCACTGCACTCCAACCTGGGCAACAGAGTGAGACTCCAATTAAAAAAAAAAAAGAATAAGACCAGGCACAGTGACTCACATCTGTAATCCCATCACTTTGGGAGGATTGCCTGAGTCCAGGAGTTTGAGACCAGCCTAGGTAACATAGCGAGACCTCACCTCTACAAAAAAGTAGCATAATTAGCCAGTTATGGTGGCACACACCTGCAGTCCCAGCTACTTGGGAGGCTGAGATGAGAGGACCACATGAGCTCAGGAGTGTGAGGCTGCAGGGGGCTATAATCATGCTACTGCACTCTGACCTGGGCAACAAAGTGAGAACCTGACTCAAAAAATGAATTCATTGATTAATCAATTAAAAAAAAATAAATGGTCTCAAGCTAACATCAAAATCTGTTAGGTGAAACACACTGTCCCCAGGTTCTTATTGACTGTGTACCCAAAATGCTTCAGAAAATCATGTTTGGTCTTGGATGGCCGAGACGTTTTCCATTCACAAGGCCTTTTCCCACTATCAGCAACAATTTTTTTTTATAAGTCAAAGAATGAATTTCTCCCAATGTTCTAATTAAACGATGAAACAACCAAAAGTTTAAAAGTCCCCACCCCACACATCCCCATCCCAGTTCTGGACAGCCAATCATATTGAGAATCAAGTCCCTCCCCCTGACCTCGGGAAAGCACATCAAAGAGAAGAATCTGGCCTCTCTTTTCTGCCAGGGTGGGGCCAGGAGGTGTGTTCTAAGGAGCTCTAGTCAGACTGTCTAGTCAGTAAACTCTGAAGCTAGAAGTGGGCTGAGACCCATACGCAACACACAGACACCTTGCAATGATCATAGTCCAGTTATACATGACAGGTAAGGTGATGCAAAACAGCCAGTTGTAATACATGTTTCCCGCGGGATCAATCACCATCACCTCTTTCTTCACCCTAGCAGCAATGAGAAACAAAAGGGGAAGGTTATCAAGACACAGGAGCATTTTTATTTCCCATATTAAATATCTTTATGCCCTTCACCTGCCACCAGTGAAAGAGAAGCAAGCTGACAAGATCACCCAGCAGTGGGAAAATGAGCTTGGCATCAGCGCACTAATCATAGGAAACTGCTTGGTGAGGGGTGGAAGGACAGTGAAATCGCCAGCCTTGCACTCAGTCACAGTAGGCTTTTATTAAAGTCCTGGTTTTGCTGCAGTGGTACTTTCAGTTCTACACTTCAGCTACCAATAGGGCACAGTGGCATAGATCACAGGAAACAATGAATATTCCCCCATGCCTTTGGTAGGTTATGGATGGTGGAGGAATGGTAACTTTGTAACCTCACTCCCCAATCAGGCCACAAAGTAACCAGGAACTATAGTGCCAGGGGGAACTCCTCCATAAAGAAGAAAGAAGAAAGCAATACCGCCTGATGCAAAGCACGTTTTTATAGGCATGTAGGGCACAAGAGGCGAGGGAGGAGGAAATACATGGTCAAATGGAAAGCATTTTAATGTCCTAACATCAGGCCTATATCTTTAAGAACTTTTCTCCTTATACCAACTGCAACACCTTTCCAAAACAGCACAAGTGAACCACTGTCTGGTAAACAGTGCTCTCTAAGGAGGTTCAGAAAACAATTTCTCTGTAATGAAAAGTAAAAAAGCTTTGAAAATATCACATGGGCTTAGCCTTGTGAAATTCTAACTCTCAAATGTTTACTTTTAAAAGAGTACTTCAAAGGGTATCTGATCTCAAATCAGGTGAAGTGAAGACAAAGAGAGGCCCAAATTTCACCTGTACGATGACCACTTATGTATCTAATCCTGAACTGTAACCCACATCTTTAAAAAAATATATATGTAAGTTCTCCCCCCTAAAAAAAAGAGTAAGTTGTGTTGTGGCAGCATCCATACTGCTCTGGAACTCGGACATGCCTTTGCAACGAGGCTTCCTTCCTTTGGAGCATTTGCTGTATGACATGTGTCACTCAAAAATGTTATTGAAGGCTGGGCGCAGTAGCTCAAACCTGTAAATCCCAGCAGTTTGGGAGGCCAAGGTGAGGGTATTGCCTGAGCCCACGGGTTCGAGAACAGCCCGGACAACTTGGCGAGACCTCATCTCTACAATAAATCAAAAAATTAGCCAGGCCTGGTAGCATGTGACTGTAGTTCCAGCTACTTGGAAGGCTAAGGCATAAGGATCGCCAGAGCCCAGCAGGTTGATGCTGGGGTGGCCAGGAGCATACCACTGCACTCCAGCCTGGGCGATAGAGTGAGACTCCAACTCAAAAAAAAAAAGTTATTGAAATTATTAAATTTTTATTTGAGTTTTTAAAAGTTGATGGTAATATCCTAGGAACTCAATACTCCTTGGATCCCAAATATTTCCCACTGACAAGTTTGTCTTCATCAATGTTTAGGGAACAGAATTCAGCACAGCAGTGACACCTCTCAATGAGGAAATTAAGAATAAAGCTAACATTACTAATTTTAGGGAGATTGGGAAATGTCTTAATTCACAATTGATTATTTATGTCAAATGTTCATTTTTAAATGTTTAAATGAAGTCTTCACTTGGGACTCTTTACTGCAGTGTTTCTTCCTACTTCATATCATGGAAAATTATCCCTGCATCTAAAACCCATCACAAACTCACTTTTAATTTCCATGCCAATGAAAAGACTTACTCTTCTTTCTTATCTTTGCTTTTCTCCTCTTTCTTTTTCTCCTCTTTGTCCTTTTCTTTCTTCTTTTTCTTCTCTGAGTTCTTTTTATTTTCTTTTTTTTCATCTGACTTGCTGAAAAAGTTGAGTATATAAGTATTAAAATATGAAAATGTTATGGGCAGAAAAATGTGGAGGAATTCATGCCAAAGTCTGCCTTACCTCTTCTTTTCTTTTTTCTTTTTCTTTTTTTCTTTTGGTTCTCTAAAGAAAACAAACAAACAAACAAAAAAATGATATCTCTGTCGTGTAATCACATTACACTCTGCCTTCCATTCTTATTTACTTTCTTCTTCATCTGATAAGAATTCTCAGCCTTGCATTCCTGCCCCGGTGCTCAGAAGCCAGAAATCGTGTCTCCTAATGGAGATTTCTAAAGAAAATACACAATAATTTAGATAATAAAACAAACAAAAATTTATGGGTTAATGGATGTGGAAAGCTGAAGAAAACAGAGATGAATAAAAGTTTAAAAACCAAAGAGAGAAACTTGAGAAACAGCCTCAAAAGGAGTATACTTCCAAAGTGTTGATGCATTAAAAAATAGTGATTTGAAACATATGCTTCTTGATTTCATTCCCATTTATCCATGAATAACAGCATTGAGAATTTTAAGGAAATGCCATCACTTTTCTTTAGAGAGAGAATAATCCTGACTGAAGCCATTTTTCACAAACAGGCAGAAAGCTCTGTGGTAGTCCAGCGGAACTCCGATTGCTGGAGACATTCATTGGACTGAGACCGCCCCTTCTATATTTAATTTCTTCTTGAGTGGAGGTTATGTGATTAGGGGCCTATTTCTATAGCCAGCTTTCTCTATCAGCAGAGGAATGGATTCTAAAGTCACACAGACCCAGGGTCACAGCAGCTGCCATTGTCGGCCCTAATGTCTGAGGACAATCTATTATTCAGACATGAATAAACAGACATCTCACCACCATTAGGATGGCCAGAGAAGGCTGCCAAAAGGAGGGAGTTCTAAGCTGAGTAGGAGTCAGAGATGTTAAAAAGAGGAAGGATGCTAAATGGAGGGGTTTCCAAGTGTAAATGTAGTTAGTTGATCTGGGTGAGATTGACCAAGCAGAAGTGAGGAACCACCATCAAGGAAAAATGGGAGGTAAGATTGGCAGGTGAGGTGGACCTTAGCAACTAAGGAGGTCCTGTACAGATGGGGGGCAGAACAGAGAGCCAGACAGAGAGACTGCCCTGCTGTGGGATGACACAGCTGTGACTCGGGATTTGACAGCCTCACATGGTTCTGGGGGGTGATATTGACATATGACTCTGAGGGTTCTTGGAAGCTTGGAAGAGGCAATGGCCAGCGCCAAGTGAAAGGGACAGGGCAGAGCACAAGGCAGACAGTGGAAGATCAAAAGATTCAGAGACGTGACAGGCTAATGTGGATATACAAGGGGGACCCCAAAAATTCCAGCAGTCTCTTTTGGAGGGCAGGCCTCTTGTAGTACAGGTTCCCCCTGATAGGTAAGTGTTCTAGGAACCCATCAGCATCCATGAACTAGCTAGCATTGTTGGGAGAGGCTGCACTTGACTTCAGTGAATTTTTGTTTGGAGATTCTTTCAGCGTGCTTGTCCATTAAATGATGGGTGATTTACGAGTGCACCTACTCACACTGCTCTGTGTTCAGCAGTTATTGGCCTAAAACAGCAGAACCCCTATGCCCCACCCTCCCTATTCACCCAATCTCACCCTAAGCAATGTTTGTGTTGTTGTTGTTGTTGTTTTCTTGGATGAAAAAAATTCTCAAAGGGAAATGTTTTGCTAACATGGAAGCGGTGAAACAAAAAATGGCAGAAGCACTAAAAGTCTTTAAAATGGATGAGTTCAAAAACAGTTTTGAGCCATGGAAAAAGCATCTCAATGGGTGCATTGCATCAAATGGTGAGTACCTTGAAGGTGACTGATGTTTAAACAAGTAAGAATAAATATACAATCTTTTATAGATAAATTATGGGGTTTTTGGGGTCACCCTTGTACTATGTTAAGGACTTAGCTCACCAACCCACCCTTGGAAAGTTCAGAGGATGCAAAAGTGATGTGGAATGTGTGGTGAGAGAGGCTCCAGCTACTTTGAGAAGCTCAGTGGTGCTGTGCTCTGCAGTCCACGGTGTCGGTGAGAGACAGTTACAGAATGGGGCTCCCTGAGTGCAAAGGAGATAATTGGATCTAGAAATGACAGAGACTACTGGCAGTGCTCACCCACCAGAATTGAGGTGAGTCTAGTCATTGTAGTAGTGTTAAGGTGGCCATGACTTCCAGGGGGCTTCACCTATACTCAGCTACAGAGGAAGTTAGTGGAATATAGTTTTCCTAAGTAAGTAGACAGCCTGCTAGCTAGTCAGGGTATATGGTATTGTTTAACGTATGCAACCAAAACAAGTCAGGACATTGAGGGCAATTTGCTCCATTAAAAAGTCCCACCCGTGAATGGTCTCTAGACCTGTGCCTGTTCCTAGGCCTAAACCCATTGACTGGAAGAGAGGCCAAGGCCCCATGAAGGACTCTGTGACACTATGACAAGTGTACTTGGTGATGAGTTCCCCAGGCCGTTTACTTAGATAACCATACCCTGGGAGAAAAAGGAATTCCTGGATACCTTGAAGACTGCTTGGCACAGGACCAAAGTTGATGTTGACACCCTGGGATGGAAGCATCATCATGGTCCCCCATTAGGGTGGAGGGCTTATGATGGCCTGGTGACCCTCGAACCCTGGATGAGATGTGATTCATGGCATTGCCACTGGGTCCCTAGACCCACTACATCATCATTTCTCCAGTTCCTGAATGTAAGCGTGAAATGTACACACTTTCTCAATGTACAAGTAGAATGTATATACATTCCAGAATGTAAAAGTGGAATGTATATAATTGGTCATTGGTGAAACTCCCACCCCCAGCCCCATTAGTTTCTTGGCTGGTGGGTGAAGCTATCACAATGCGTAAGACCAAGTAGATGCCCTTGAGCTGCCTCCCACCTTCTGGCCAAAAACAGCATTGCATCCTGGAAAGAAAAGAATACACTCCTCGAAGACCTAATGCATGCAGGGGTGGTGGTCCCCATTTGATTCACCATCTGTCCCCCACAAAACCAAATGGATCCTGATGGATGGCAGCAGATTACTGCAAAGTCAACCAAGTGCCAATCCCAATGGCAATCACTCTGCTATTTGTGGAAAATAACACATTCACCTGATCGATACCATATACCAAGGTACTGGGTAAGTCATGCGAGTGTTATTTTCATCACCGTCAGGGAAAAGGTGTGAAAACAGCTTGTGTACACATGGGATGGAAAACAATACACATTTGCAGTCTTTCCCAGGGTTATGTTAACTCTCCTTCCTACTGTCAGGACAGAGTCTAAAAGGACCTGGACCATCTGGATATTTCTTAGAACATCACACTTGCCCACTATATCATTAACATTCTGTTAATCAGACCCTGAAAGAGGATTATCTAACCATGACATAAGATGACTGCCCATTATGAGATGAACTCTGTCAGAAACACCTAGTCCTAAGGCTGGACATCAATTCATCATACAAGGAAGTCATATAGCTGGGACTGAGCATGAAACTGAGGGAGCGAGTAAGCTGCCCAGGCAAAAGTCTCAGTTCCAGTTCCCATGTCATTTGCCACTGTTGCATCAGCACCTGCCCCTCACTCCCGCTATGAGTGGGGTTCTTTAAGAGTAGCTGATCAAACATGGTGCATGGATGGGTCAACTTGGTATGTGAGCACAAGCCCAAATGGGCTATGTCTACATCACACTTAGAGGGAGCTTTGAAAGTCAGCAGTGAGGTTAATTTATCCCAAAGCACAGCTTCCACACAGTCATCCAGGTTGTGTGGAAAAATAAATTCCACAAACTAAGAATATGCAGGGACTCATGGGCAGTCACAAATGCCTTGACATGGACAGAAAGGGACTTGGATGGAAAAGGAGCAAAAGATCAGGGGAAATAGTTCTGAAGAAGAAGCAGACTGAAAGGACATATGAGAATGAGCACAAAGTTTGAAAATCTTTGTATCCCTTGTTAATGCCCATCAAATAGAATGCACCACGGGAAAGATACCAAAGTAGACAGAATGACTCAGATAGCTGACAAAGCCAACCTCTGTCATCGACATCCCCAGTGCTGACACACTGTGGATATGAATGGAATGGTCATGGGAGCAGAGATGGAAGAGATGCATAAGCCCAACAGGTAGCTTCCCACTCACTAAGATAATCTAACTACTGCTGTTCATTAATGTCCAACCTGCCAGTTATGGAGACCAATGCTATGACTACAGTACAGTACTTTCCCTTGATGAAAGCAATAGGTCATTAGATGGCCAGTTAACTAAATTGGACCCCATGAAAGAGGCATCAAATATATTGACATGATTTGATATATAGTATGGGTATTGACTTGCTTTTTTGCTTAGACCAGTGCCATGATTTAGGAACACATAAATTATGATACACTAAAACAGAATATTGCATAACATCACCTTGGAACCAAAGGACCTACTTTACAGCAAAGGTGTGGAACTGGACACTGAGTTGGGGGGTCCAACAGTCCTATTGTATGCTACGCACCATCCAGCAGTTGCTGACATGACAGCATTATGAACTTGCCTTTTGAAGGCACAGCTGAAATGCTACCATAGAGTGTATACACTAGGAAGATGAGGTGCCATTATATGGTACTCTGTGCCTGTATAGAATGCATGCATAGAATGCATGCATCTGGAAGTCAAGTATGTCAGGGAGACTCACATAGGGAAGGTGTGCTTCCATTCCTGCAACTGTAGGCTCTGTGAGTCTAGAGGTCCTGGTTTCTAGAGGGGTAATGCATCTGCCAGGGAATACAGAGTCTCACTAAACCTTAAGCTATGGGTATTCCCCAGCCACTTGTAGCCACATGCCAAGAAACCAACGGGCAAGGAGGAAAGTTGCCATCTGGAAAAAGCTCTTGACTCTGAACATCAGCAGTAGGTGTTGCTGGTGTTACACAGTGTAGAGGGAGAGGAAATATATTTGCACCCATGGGATCCACTGTATTCCCCAGTTCAGTTTTGCAGTAAATGGACAAGTTACAGTAGCGATGACTCAGGAAGGGCACAGTGGCCAGGAGCTCAAATCCTTGAAGAATGAGTGTCTGTGTTATTCCACCAGGCAAGTTCTCTAAGCAGACGTGCTGGCCTGGAGTGTAGGTGAGCAGGAAAGGGGAGGATGAGGAATTTTAGCTGGAGCCTCACAACTAGCCGCAGCTATCAGGGAACGTAGCTTATCCCATAAAATTTCCTCTAAGAATCGTCCTCGGGAAGGAAAAACAACCATGATTCCTTCAGGAGTATTACTAAGTGGGGTGAGTTTTCCAAGTGAGCACAGTGGATATGAGCAGTGTCCAGGTAGGCTGGACAAACACAGGGGTGCACAGGACAGCTCACGGTTTTCCCTCTCCCTTGCTGGCCTTGGCTAGAGAAAACCGCCATGCTCAAGGCCATACCCCACTTCCTAGGGCCAGCCCTTGGACAATGGCTGTGCTTGAGTACAAGGGCCCAGGCCTGTTACCTAAATATGGGGCACCCCCAAAGGGCTGTCCCAGTGCCAGAGGCCTCAAGGAATCACGTTATATATCAGCTCCATTCCCTGAAGTTCCTCTTCTCCCTCTGCCAGTCCTGCCCTTCAACCACCCTCCCAGGTATTGTCCCCAAGAGCACCCCCAATAAACCTCAACTGCACCTGAGGAACTTGACCTAAGACGCATTGGCTCGGGACTAGAAAGGATGAATAAAGAGGTACCATTTATTTTTGTCAGTCACCCTATCCCTAAGGAAAGGATAACTGCATGGGCACCACAGACATAGTTTTTCTACATATACAGGAGTGCCCAAAAAACGTCTACACATTTTAAAAGATGTTCTCTATGGATTACTTTTCAAGATGGAATTAAATTATGATAGCAATGTGTAGTAGTATAATGTTCACTCAACCATGTTTCTGCCATTTTCTTTGACTGTCCTGCCTGATGCATGGTAAGGCTAGCATTCATTTGATTAATACCACCTTCTGAACAAATGTCATACTTAAAAATGTGTACACATTTTTTGGTACCTCCATATTCAAATAAATAAACAAATACATAAATACTACTTTCAATATGAGTAACAGCATTTTTCAGACCTAAATAACCAAGCAATAAAACAGTAGGCTATCATCACCATTGTATTAGACAGGTTTTAAAAATCATTTACTTATTATTTCAATGGCTTTAGGGAGTACAAATCATTTTTGGTTACATGATTGCATCATATACTGGTGCAGATGTCTGGGCTTTAAGTGCACCTACCACCCCCACCTGTGCACACTGTACCTGATGGGTGACTTTTATGTCCTTTCACCCTTCCTTCCTCCCCCTTCTGAGTCTCCCGTGTCCATTATTTTATACTCCTGCCTTTGCAGACCCTTAATTTAGCTCCCACTTATAAGTGACATATTCAAAAATTTTCCTAATAAATAGTTGCTCTTTAACTGAGTCAGAGATATCCCTACATTTTTACTGGTTGTGTATAAAAACTGAGCCTGGTTTTCTATCATAAATGTACTTACTGGTCCTTATTGCTGCTGTTGTTAACATTGAAGAGCGCGATGGCACCGGGCAGGTACTGCTTCCTGGGAAATGAAAAACACAGAGAAGTCACAACAGTCACCGTCTGTATAATGATCATGAGGGCAGTCTTAAAGAATAAATTCTTCTGAGTCTCTACTCATCACTAATGAAGGCCAAGATGACTTTTTAAAATATAAAGTCTCCCTGAAGTATGATTTGTCAGACCCCAGTGCCTTGAACCAAGTGGTTGTTAGTAAATGCCTATTGGTCAATGTTCACACCCAGAATTAGCTTGAATGAGCCACCCTGGATGCTGGGAACTCCCAACTAGAGTCCTAAACTATCAGAGAAAAGAGGAAGAGGAGAAAAGGTAGATAAAAACAATGAGAAAGCTAGAGGTAGTCAGCAGAAGAAAAATAGGAAAGAGAAAAAAAGAAGAAGAAAAAAGCAAAGAAAAAGTTCATCTGTCCCTTAGGATGGGAACCCCTGATTTATGCCAGCACCACAACCTCCAACACAGAGTCCTGGGCTTGAAATGCCCATGGCCATTTTATTTCCTACTGAGAATTTTTAGCTTTGTCTTCTAGCTGCTCACTCTAGCGCTACAAGCAGGTTCAAATGGGATAGAGCAGCGGTCCCCAATCTTTTTGGCCTCAGGGACAGATCTTGTGAAAGACAATTTTTTCACATACAAGGGAGGAGGGGAGCAGATCATCATGCATTAGATTCTCATGAGGAGCTCACAAACTGAATCCCTCACATATGTGGTCCACAGTAGGGTTCACACTCCTAGGAGATTCTAATCCTGCTGCTGATCAGACAGAAGATGGAGCCCCACTCCCCGGCTGCCACTGCCCAGTTCCTAACGGGGCACAGAACTGTACTGGTCTGCAGCCCGGGGGTTGGGCACCCCTGGGATAGAGCAGAGAATGACAGCCAGCCCTTTCACACATCATTGATCCAAGAAAGAAGAATCAGAGAGAAGCAGGAAATTAGAGGAGACAGGGTCATGAGGTTTCTTTTTGTTTTGTTTTTGTTTGATTTTTTTCCACTTTTATTTTAGATTCAGGGGGTGTGCATGCATGTTCATGACGTGAACATATTGTGCCGTGGTGGGGACTGGGTCTCAGGTGGCCCATTCCCCAGAGAGTGAACATAGGCAATTTCTGAATCCTAACCCCCTCCTCACTGTTCCCCTTGTAGGTGTCCCCAGTGTCTTTTCTTTCTGTTGGTGGTATTGTAAACTAGTTCAATTGCAAGAGGTTTCTTAAAAGACAGATGCGGGGCCGGGTTTGTGGCTCAGCCTGTAATCCCAGCGCTTTGAGAGGCCGAGGTGAATGAATTGCCTGAGCCCGCAGGTTCAAGACCCACCTGGGCAACTTGGCAAGACCTCATCTCTATAATAAATAAAAAAGAAAAAATTAACTGGGCGTGGTAGCGTGCGCATGTAGTTCCAGCTACTTGGAAGCCTGAAGCAGAAGGATCGCTGGAGCCCAGCAAGTCGAGGCTGCGGTGGCCAGGAGTGGCCACTGCACTCCAGTCTGGGTGACAGAGTGAGACTCCAACTCAAAAAAAAAAAAAGACATGCAGGACTTAGGGGAAAAGGAAACAAGCGTGTTTACACACTCTCCCAGAGACTTGGACCCCCAGGGCATGGGGGCAGTTTCCCAAGAAAGGATGAGGACAAGGAACAGACATGGCATCCTTGAGATGCTGCACAGTTCTCTAGGTAGCAGAAACATTTGCTGAGTCCACTCTGTGGAAGTAGAAGGCCTTTCCCCTACATCAAACTTAAACACAGGTGCTGAGGGCCGGTCCCACTGCTCACCTCTGTGAAGGTTCTCCCCTTTGGGGTGAGTTATTCCTCACATGGGGGTTTTCATCCTCTGACTCTTCAGACACAGAGGCACTGTCGTCATCATCTGAAAAGGAACTAAAGGCCAAGAAGAAGCAGAGATGAGCTAGATGGATGTTTTCAAACATCATGGGTGAACAACACATCTCATCAGGGACCATCACCTCTTCTCTGCTCCCTCCCACTCAAACGAACACAGACCATGTTTAATCAGATGCAGTGAGAACTAGCTAGACAGAATACAGTGAATTGCATGAAATGTGTGCACAGTTGAGAAGAATGCATTTAGTTGAGTACAATGGCTCACGCCTGTAATCTCAGTACTTTGGAAGACCGAGGCAGGAGGATTGCTTGAGGCCAGGAGTTCAAGATCAGCCTAGGCAATATAGCAAGACCTTGTCTCTACAAAAAAAACATTAACTGGGCATGGCGGTACACACTTGTAGTCTCAGCTACTCAGGTGACTGAGGCAGGAGGATCACCTGAGCCCAAGAGGTTGAGACTGCAGAGAGCCATGATCATGCCACTGTACTCCAGCCTGGGTGACAGTGAGATTCTGACTCAAAAAAAAAATGCATTTAATTAAGAAACTACTTACTAGGTTTTCCACATTCCTATTGTTTGAAGCATTGACTGATGTTAATATTTATTAAGTAGAAAGTGTGATCGCTGGGATTTAGATTCTATGATACAGTTGTGTGAACTAACTTGTCTCCTAACAATGTTTCCTTCCACTAAAATAAAGTCAACCAAATATATGTATATATATATATTTCCTTTATAGGGCTGGCATTTTAAATTACACTTTTAAATTGTGCTGTTAGCATTTTGTATCCATGCACATTCACCTAAGGCAATGTCATCCCTTTAGATCTGACATGTCCCATGAGGAAAGACCCCATTAGTGACTAAAGAAATATCTGGCATAGGTGCTCCCAAAACAGTGACCACAATCACATCTATGTTCCTTTCTTAGACAAGTTATGCTGTTCCAAAGTATAAATAAATGGACTCACTGAAATACAGATTTCAAGTTTACGAATTATGTGGTTAAGTTGAGATTTAGCCTGGTTGAACTGAACACCCGTGGCTGGTGTTACAAAAACAGGGATATGTAACTTTACCTGCAGGCCCCATTTTCCATCCTTCGAATATCCTTGTCGATGTCTGGTGCGACCACATTGGGCTTGTTTATGAAGGAGCGCCGTGTGTTGATAATGTTTTTCTTCATGTTTAGTTTCATATCTGAGGAGAAAGATGTCTTATTAGTGGGAAGACTGTGTGTAATCAAAAGTCTCACACTTCCATTTTTCTAAGACTGTAATCACACTTATTTCCAGTTTACATGAGACTTATTCTTGGCCAGAATGCAGACATGACCTATCCCCTTCACTTCCCTTGACCTGTTCTTTGCGAACTTTTTAAAATTGAAGAATGTATCAGGGATGTAGAACTTTTTTTTTTAATTGGGTCTACCCTGCTCTGAAATATTCCAGCAATGTAGATATGGGACAAAACCCTAGGGATCTCACATACCCATCAGACAATTAGGTAATAGTGAACAGAAGTGGAATAAAATACCCGAATGGATGTAATCAGCTATGAATGTGTATAGGCATTCAGACACCAAGGGCCTTGAGTGGCATTCAAACACTAACAGGAATAAGGGTGACATGAATGCACACGGTTAGCAAGTCCCCTGAACTATTCTGATGTACATATATCCAAGCAACATATTTTGAGAAACACTGACCTAGACTCAAATCAGGGAGTGTTAGCTTCCTAGGAGCAGGGAGAAATCTCAGGCCACCCTGCAGCCTCACCTGAACACACAGGCTCTCTTGACAACTGTCAGCCGCCTTGTCTTCACTACCTCCACTCCCCTCTGGGATGATTTCTGTCTATGGTCCTCATGAAGGGCCCTCTCTCTAGGCTGGTGATCCCACCCTGAAAATGCTTGTCCCCATAGGAAGGAGACCGGCCTCTGCTGTTCCCATGTGCCAGATGGCTCTGGCAGCAGAGTGAAGACTGTTTCTCCCTTCCATTCCATGCTGGCCTTGATGCCTTGAGCCTGGAGCTGGATCCTCATCCTTAAAAGAGCCACTGCTGAGAAGAACACATCTAATCCACAAGACCCAGCACACGTGGGATGCCCCTCTTGGGATTCCCCGGAAAACCTTGGGAGCCTTGTGAGGTGGAGAGGCTGTGGGTGTAGACAGAGCCAGAATAGGTATGATATGCTGTTGTTTAGTGTACACAGTTATTTGGATCTAACGACTCTGTGGGCCCTGAGGCCTTTAGGTGATGTTCAAATAGCGCTGCTGTTTAAAGGTACCCACTGCTACAGCTAGCCAGGGTGTTATAACCAGCATTCGTTTCTGACTGACAAGTGCCTAACAGCTGTCATAAACGTTCAATATCTTTAGTATCAATTCTTCCTCATTCTATTATTTGACAATTCCGTGTTTATGCCTCAGTGAGACTCAACTAGCATATGAGCTCTTGGAATCCAGGAAAATGTCTTAAATGTTCTTGTTTATCTTCCTAATATCTATGACAATGCTATACAATTAGTATGCTCTCAATAAGCAGTTTGATTGGTTACTATACCCATCCACCACTATCCGCTATCTTAGATTCCCCTTTTGTTACATGTTTTCAAAGTGGGAAGGGTGCTTTCTAATTTAAAAAAGATGATAACTCATAACTCATGGAGCAAATGTTGAATGGTTGGACTGTGCTTTGAAAACAGATGATTACTAAGGTACAGAGAGGTGTTCTGGGCCAGTACCCTGCCTGAGCTGTGGTGTTCACACCCCAGTGGCTTTGCACATGCATTCCTTGGGTCTGGAAAGTCCACTTTCCTTGAGTTCAAAGAGGTGTGGCCCATTGCTCAAGTCCAAACCGCTGACACCTCACCCTTGACCTAGGTCACCACTTCCTTCTCTGCCACAGCGTTTTGTATATATTCTAATTATCTTTCCCTATGCTAAGCTGCTGAGCACTCCATCTTGACAAGTAGGCTCTGACCTTCTCTAGACTGGAGACCTTTGTAATCATAGCAGAAGCCTTGTGGGTTTTTGTTGTTGTTGTTGTTGTTTGTTTGTTTGTTTTTTGAGTTGGAGACTTACTCTATCTCCCAGGCTGGAGTGCAGTGGCACTATAACTGCCCACTACAGCCTCAACCTCCTGGGCTCAGGTGATCCTTCCACTTTAGCCTTTTGAGTAGCTGGGACTACAGGCACTTGTCACTGTGCCTGGCTAATTTGTTTTTGGTTTTGGTTTTTTTTCTAATTTTTTTTTTTTGTAGAGACAAGGTTTTGCTATGTTGCTCAGGCTGATCTCGAACTCCTGGGCTCAAGCTGTCCTCCCCGCTTGTCCTCCCAAAGTGCTGGGATTACAAGCATGAGCCACTGCACCTGGCCTAAGAAATGCTTCTTGAGTGAACAAACCTTTGAGTGAACATACCTTGTTTATGCATTTTAAAAATAACACTCACAAGACTTTGTTGCAAGTGATAAAAAACTTTCTGAGTTGATAACGATTTTGAAATGGTTCTTTTTTTTTATCAGAAAGCAGGATTTATTGAGAGGACAGAAAAGCTCCCACAGTGGGAGGGGACCCAAGGGGGTTGCCCTGAAATGGTTCTTAGGGGGCAGAAATGGCAACTGTGTCCACAGCATCCTTTGTTCTCCTTCTGGTGTGTTTCTGTGAGCTGCAAAGATGGGAAGAGTTTGAAATCAGCATGACCCAGACTCCCTTGCAGATCAGATTCAGGGTGCCTCTTAAGTTGTGTCAATCAAATGCATTGGTATATAAGACTTGGAAGGTAGAAGAGGGGTGAAGACAGCCGTCCTCCCACAGCTGCCCATAAGAGCAGGCAGGGAAATATAGGGGATTCTGGAGGGGGGCAGGGAAATATAGGGGATTCTGGAAGGAGGGCAGTCCCTGTGTGGTTGGTCACTGACTTTCTTGGTGCTGAAGGCAGGCATCCAGTTTCTGCTCAACAGACCCAGCAGGGGTAGGGTGACCTGTACTCAGTTGCGGTGGAAGTAGCTCACCATTAAGATGATGCATTCTTGAATAAACAATCCTCGTGGGAGCTTCCTCTCTGCCCACCTTCCAGGTTGTGAGAGAGGAAGAAACTTCCCTGCGGACCAGTTCTGGGATGTCGCTGTGGAGTCATGCCGTGTTTCAGCCCAGAGCCTGGTGTCCTACCCTTCCAATGACTGTAGCACCATGTCCCAGAATTAAAGCTCTTCCCATTTAAAAGGGCCAGTGCACAGTTTGGTTTCTACAAATGAACAAATTGTTTTCCTGATGCTCAATACATTGAAAGTGATTGTCACAATGCGAGAAAGGTAGGGAAGGACAGGGAGAAGAAGGATGTGTAAGTGGGAGAAAGGAAAAGGGGGGATGGGATGTGGGAGAGAAAGAGAAAGGCAGAGCTTTTTGTTGACCTGTTGTCTTTATTAGAAGAAAATATGGGAGAACCTAAGAGGCACCCAGAATCTGAGCTGCAAAAGAGTCTGGGTAATGTTGATTTCTAGCTCTTCCCACCTTTGCAGCTCATGGAAGCACACCAGAAGGAGAGAACAAAGGATGCTGTGGACAAATTCACCAAATCTGTCCCCTAAGAACCATTTCAGAATCGTTATAAATTCAGTGAGTTTTTATCACTTATAACAAGAAACAAGGCCTCTTGTCATTGTTTGAAGAAAATATAGGAGAAATGTTCATAGCCACTCCACCCATTTTGTTAGCATTTGAAGATTTACATTGTAATGCATTCCAGAGTTTACTGCAAATCTTTACATTAGTCTAACCCTCCAAGATAATTAGAGAATTGTCTCCTTAAATATTTTCATGGAAAGGTGAGTTTAACAATGATGTAGAAGCAGCTTTATGCTATTTTAGGGACCTCCCACCAGATACAGAACTGACATGACCAGATAGAAAAAATATTAAGATTTCCAAACATTCAGGAACCTTGATTAGCTTTGGCCATTCCCCCATGCTGTGAGCATTGGCTTGTGTATCAGGCAGGTATGTGTTTGTGGTTTTTTTAATACGTCTCTGTTTAACAATAATTTTGCTCATGCTAGTCTCTTAACATGAGATTCTTGACCTTTTCGGTTCTCACAGAAAAAAATTCTATTGTTCCTTCAAATCAGTTCATATGTCGACTCTGTGAAGGCTTTGATGATTACTTCGGCACAAGAATTCATCCCTTCCCCCTGTTTGACCATTGTTCTGCATGCCGACCTCACTACACACTGGCTAATACCCAGGCACCAACATGTCTGGTTTCCTGCTAGGTTCATCGAGGAACTGGTGAACATAATAACTGGCTTGTACTAAAGCTTTTTAACTTTAAAGTGAGATCAACCCTGCACCAAGCTTTAACTGTGCACCTTAAACATAATTCATTATAATTATTTCATTTTTCAGTGAAGACATAAGTAATAAAATAGGAGTTTTAAAATAAAATTTTAAAAGTGTTTTTATTACAGAAATAAAATCACACACTATAACAGAATTACTTTGGTGATAGAGGAATTAATTACATAAAGAAGAAAATTCTTGGCCAGTCATGGTGGCTCAAGCCTGTAATCCCAGCACTTTGGGAGGCCGAGGTAAGGGGATTGCATGAGCCCACAGGTTTGAGAACAGCCTGGGCAACTTGATGAGACCTCATCTCCACAATAAATCAAAAAATTAGCTGGATGTGGTAGCATGTGCCTGAAGTTCCAGTTACTTGGGAGGCTGAGGTGGAAAGATCACCTGAGCCCAGCAGGTTGACACTGGGGGTGGCTGTGAGCATGCCACTGCACTCCAGCCTGGGCAACAGAGTGAGACTCCAACTCAAAAAAAAAAAAAGCAAATTCTCATAAAAATATGATGTGATCAATCAACAAAGATAGAAGCATAGAGATTTTGAGAAAAAACTGGAAAACTAAAGACAGAGAGAGAGAAAGAGAGGCAAAGTCGCTAGGAAAAGAGTTTGTGGCAATTGTCAGTGCTGACGCCAGACAGGAAGCTTCCTCCTCACAAAAAAACTGACTTAATCAGAGACCAAAGGGATGCCACAGAATATCTAAAGAAACTAGAAATCAATGGCAACAATTCATTGTATACCTTCATCTAGAAGTCTTGGATCACCAAGAATATCTTGGACTAAATTACTCCCATATTCCACTTTGGGAACTTGAAAACATGGTGGCTTTAGAGTACAAATAAAGTAA